GGGTAGAAGCTAACAAATTATCTCTGTGAGGGTAGCAATGTATATCTTTCAGGATCCCTTCTGTTTCCACTCTGCTACACTGCGGATATACGGGCAACAGGCGTTCCAACCTAATGTGGTTATGAAGAACTCAGATGTATCTTCAGATTTTATTTTAAAAATTGACATGATTTTGCTACTTCTACATGTACACTTGCCTGGGACAAATCTGGTGAATAATCAACATGGAAATGATGTGATAGCTGACTGATATCTCTTCCTCCTAGCCTGGTTTAGTTTTGGCGTGTTGCAACCGAAATCACAAGCAAGCAATTTAATAGATGGATATGCATAGCCTTTGCATTTCCGGCACAATTACTCTAAGTGGCATCTAGTCTTCACTACCACACCTGTAAAAGTCAATTTAACTATCTGTTTCTCCTTTTCCTCTATATCAGCCGGCTTGAACCGTTTATCCTCCTTTATTGGAAGGCTCGGTGTGCCTATATGCGTCGTATCTGTATTATGAATGCTTCCGTACGAGTGATAATTGAGGTGACGCAACCTGGCAACCTACTGCGGATGTATTTCCCAGCTGTCATCTGTTTCCACAGCTTCGATTAGAAGTTAAATCATACTACTATTATGTTTTTGTTGCTTAAATTTTAGCCACACCGCATGTTTTTATATCAATGTAAGTAGAAGTGAGGAGATGGGTGTTCTAATGTATATAATAGCATGTTGACTGAAACAATAGGGTTTTGTATCCAGATTTTACGTCCTATTATATAACATTTTTTAATATTGATTTGATGTTATACATTTAAAATTGAGGGAGACTCGAATAACTGTAAGCGTCTTCATTGATGGCCTGTTAACCGCTATGACATTACAAAGTTATGAAACGATGCCATGTCAGGCATATTCACTGAGGTCAGTCTATGCTCAGCGATATAACTGGACACATATCCCAAAGGGCGGGTTTTCAATTGTAGATGTAGGATTATCATGCCGAATCGGCTTACAATAATTCAAGAAAGTTGTCAAAAATGAATAGTATATACTGTTTAGATGTGAGGGTTTTCTTATAAATCCGTTTTTCCTTCGATATTATTGCTTTGCCAGAATATTTTATGTGCGAGTTGATCACATTTGACATGGAAAGTCTGCTACACGCTTTTCTTAAACTGTATGCCATTCCTATTTAGAACAGGTTTATGCCAATGATAAAAATACTAAGACATTTAACAATTGTTAAAGAACAGTTAGTTAAGCACATTGGTGGTTCACGGATATGACGAAATAATGAAATTCTGAGATAAAAATGAACTGTAATACAGCAGTTAGTTCGAAAGATAAGAAAATGATCATGAAAATACCTGTATGGAACCAGTTGTTTTGAGATATACATCTATTCATTTTGTTTGTACAACCAAACGATGATAAATCCATAACGATGATTATTCGAATAGACTCATTTAATTTCTATTGTCAAACGATAATATTACGATTTTATTCTTTTAAGTAAGTAACAGAAAAATAAAGACCAATAAGTTTTGTACAATTCAACAAATCATTTATTTCCCGAGAATAAAGTAAAAAGAATTTACATCGTTAAGAATAAAATTGCAAACGGTCCTAAAAGTGGTATTCCAAAAACGTTCTAATATTTAATTTGTTCATATGCCTGTAGTCTCGAAAGTATTAACAGTGTTTTGATGTGTCTTAATGATATAATCCAAAATATCCTTCACTGAATTCATTGTAATTCCAAATTGATATTTAAGTTTACGAATATCATTGAGCACTTTATAATCCCATCGAATGGAAATTTGATTAACTAAAACATTACATGTTAAAAAATTGAAACACCAATGGAATTGAATCGGATTCTAAAATTAAGACAAGAATGGTTCAAGTAGTTAACATTATATAAAAACTTAAAGAAATAATAGAGCCTGGATGTATGTCATTCTCCTCTTTGAAACATGTTAGGTCACCAACAAGTTTAGGATTTCCAAGTGAAAACTTAGTATCAGATGAGAAGTAAACATATTTATTTACATTGATGTTCATCTAATTATTTAATTAACACTCATAACGAAACATTAGTTATGCATTATGTTATTTACATAATGATGTCACTGCTCAATTAAATCAATTACTTGATTTTGGACAAAGTTCATAGTTACGCAAGGTCCTTCATACACTAATGTATCTTTTTATTTTGATAGTCATATAAGTTGACTTTGTTCAAGAGCAGTCTGTCTAGCATCAAGAATAATATCAACCATACTATGCCATGAAAATTTTATGTATCTTGATCTTGTCCAAAATTACGTGCATTTTCTACTTGACCTGAATAATTGACTTTTTTTATAAAAAAAAGTCTCTAAGCATCTTATGCATACAAAATAGTTTATTATAATTATGTGTTTAATATTAGGATAATTATATTGGTATGAGTGAATAGCATTTTGTTTTCTACATTTTATGTCTTATTTATGAAAAAAAATATTTTCTAACCATTAGGCGCATTCTAGAGCAGGCTTTTTCATTTAGGTAATATTTTTTTTAAAAGTAGAAAATACTAATTTGGATTAAGGTCAAGTAGAGGACTATCTAATATTGTTTTCTTAGACATTATTTATTCGCGATTTAAGATTTAACAACAAAAAATTATAATATTGCTGTGTCCAGTTCGACTGCAATTTTACTTGTTCAAATTATTTGTTCACTGAGTGTATAGTGTGCTTATCAAAATAACACTCTTAAATTTATTGGGAAATTTCAAATAAGAATATATTCTTGGATTGTATTATTGTGACCCAAGAAAAAGACTTTTGGCACATCACAACTACACAGGTCAACGCAAGAGCATCAACATTTCCAGCGTTGGCTTTGATTTGGATTTTATTAAAGTTATTAAGTACTTTAATTATTAGTACTTGTGTCTGTATCTGAAATTTAATAGGCAATAATGTATGATCTTGCTTTTACATTTTCATTTTGTATTTTAGAGAAATACATTTGTTGAATTTAAAATGTTGTATGTATGTATGTATGTATGTATGTATGTATGTATGTATGTATGTATGTATGTATGTATGTATGTATGTATGTATGTATGTATGTATGTATGTATGTATGTATGTATGTATGTATGTATGTATGTATGTATGTATGTATGTATGTATGAATTCTACTAAAGAATCCAGGGATAGCAAAGTATGTTCTGTCTAGTAAATATTTATAATTAGTTGTAATAAAAAATTCCTATATACCTTGATTTCTTTCATAGGAATCTTGAACGACTGTGTGTATATATGAGAATTAATTACTAGGTCGTTATGCGCGTGTGTCTGTTACGCACGATCTTATATAACAACGATTCAGTGCCATCAATTTTGTGATGAGTGCTTAGTCGTGACGGTATATGGGTTGGTGCGTGCAGGCTAGGAGATTGGTGCCATTTACTCGCGGACCAAGGTTCGAAACTCCGTAGAGTACGAATTTAATTTCTCTAACCTGCATGATAGTATTGTTTGTATTAAACTATTATTTCTGCCCACTATTATGAATATTCTACTATAGAATCCAGAGATAGCACAGTCTGTTCTGTCTGGTATATTTTTATAATTATTTGTAATACAAAAATCTTATATACCTTGATTTCTTTCATAGGAATCTGGAACGACTGTGTGTATATATGAGAATTAATTACTAGGTCGTCATGCGAGTGTGTCTGCTACGCACGAGCTTATATAACAACGATTCAGTGCCATCAATTTTGTGATGAGTGCTTAGTCGTGACGGTATATGGGTTGGTGCATGCAGGCAAGGCGATGGGTGTTATTTACTCGCGGACCAAGGTTCGAAACTCCGTAGAGTACGAATTTAATTTCTCTAACCTGTATGATAGTATTGTTTGTATTAAACTATTATTTCTGCCCACTATTATCAAGGTTCTACTATAGAATCCAGGGATAGCACAGTCTGTTCTGTCTGTATTGTTTGTATTATAGAGAGATTATATTAGTACTTCGCATATAATTTGAAGTTATCTCATTTCATCGTACCTATAGTCGTTGTCGAATGGTGGTGTACATTCGGTAGAAAATGTAGCCAGTAATATTATCTTGTATGCATAGTATAATACTGAGAGTAGTGTATATTCTTATCTCTCCTTTGAACATTCATTGCTCTCCATTCGTGCAATCTTTGCTGTATTCATCGTATTGGGCGGATACTGCTTCTCGTTTGGATCGCCTTGTAAATAGTTGTATTATTAGAATAGACTCTATTCCTTGGGGTCTACAAGTTTGCCCCCTATCAATATACCAATGTAGCAAATAAATAAACAGAAATGAAATCATATTCAAATATATGTTAAGTATATATTTCAATGTTTAATTTTAGGCTTCAGTAATTCATCTTGATGTAGCAATTCAGGAGTCACACACACACACACACACACACACACACACAGAGACGTTATATGTAGTCGATAAGAATTTTCAAAAATTATACAGGCAAGTGACTCGTTTGTATGGTTTTGCTATGTTTATTCCACGTTTTGATTTCAATCTATCTTATTGGAGTTTGCTTGGTGTAGGGGAAATGTGGGTTGGTGCATGCTGGCAAGACGATGGCTGTCATAACATGTAAACCCATATTCAAATTTCGGTAAAAGTTCTACCCTATAGGATAATATTCATTCTCCACATATATTTTCAGTTCATATAATTCTATATACTCAGAAAAAACACTTTATAGGTAGTGAAATGAAGAGCGTGCATGTTACATACGCATACATTACTATCCTTGGGAAGTTTTATTCCTTTCCGGTACTATGCACAACACATTTGTCTGAAGCGCTTGTTTTGATTTTTTTTATTAAGGTGACATCTTAGTAAAAGCTGCAAAATAAAACTAGTATATGATTATGATTTTAAACTAACGAGTTGAGTTTACGACTCACTTTTCTTCTGGATGTAAACAAGAGTATATAAAGCACGTTTGACCGCTCCGGTGGACTAGTGGTTAAAACGTTCGCCTAGGATGCGGAAGATCTTGGGTTTAAACCCCAGCCGAGTCATACCAAAGACCTTAAAAGTGGTACTAACAGCTGCCTCGCTGGACTCTTATCATTAAGAGGTTATTGTTAGGACTGGGTGGCCTGGTTTCAGGTTAATGTGACTGGGTGGGACATCATGCCCTTTGTCTGCGGTATGATGTCCCAGTGCTAGAAAACTCTATTAACTATTACACTGCAAACATAATAGCGATATGAATGAACAATTGTTAAAGCTACGTTAATAATCTAAATCACGCACACATGTATAAAACATGTTTAGCCTGAACAATCCACGACGAACAAATATCTTCCTCATGCAAGTCCTTCAAAACATTTTACTTTAAAGCTGACAGGTAAGCAAATACCAATGGGTATTATTTTAAACAATATGCAATACGTACGAAAATTACCTGTTAATTTCATGCATGGTTGATTCTGTTGAAATCACACACTAGCTGCGTGTGATTTAAACTGGATTTGACTAGCTCTTTGGGGGTGCGGCTTGCTGTATTCCATAATTGTTAATGGAGACTATTTCAGGATAGTGTGATTTTTCAAATAATTGATATATAATGCAGACCAACAAATCAAAAACAGAGATATCGGTTTACGAGAGATATTACGGAGAATATAAACTTGTGTTCGTTAGGACTGAAGTTTAGTCATACAGCTCCAACAGTCAAATTGTTAGTGTGAGGACTTCTATAACTTTATTACAATGGGAGCGTACAATACCCTAATTGTTTTAATTATCGTGTTGTGTACAACTTCAACAGAGTCTACAGGTACTTGCCCAACTGGGGACTGCGTTATATACGACATATCAACCGAGGCTAATTGTACGGAAGTCTCCTTCGAAAAACCTACATACGACTGTCGATGGTCAGCAAGTTTGGACCTGAACGCTGACCAGGTTATTTTAGGTGGCAGAATAGTGGCTTTCAGAATAGAAGCGTTTAACGGCGGATGGACAGATTGGTTCGTACCAGGTATAAACGACATAGACGGCAAGTACAATGTATACGCCGATCTGTTCCAAAGCTGTCCTATTAAGCCCAAAATGATGGGGATGAAACGAAAGTGGGCATACTTCTACGATCACAATCACATGTATATAGTTTGTAAGAATCCGTGAAATCAGAACCATATATAACACAGACCCTCTAGAGTGATAGCTGAAGACATTTATCAAGATGCTTAAAAAGACCATTACTGAGCCATGTATTGATTTTAATGCTTCTAAAGCCATACAGTTCAACACACATTTGTCTTGTTCCAGCCATTCAACGCAATTTTCAGGAAGATGAATAATATCCTATCAGAAAATACGAATGAGAACATTTCTGATACAGAACACTTCGGCTGACTTCATTACTTTACTGCACATTCGATTCCTCTACGTCATCAGATGTTCTTGTAATTCAAAATGAATAGCATTTGTTTTGTAACATTTTATTGGAGGAGAAACGAAATCAGTTTTATTCCGCATCTTGTTCATTTTCTGCGCAATGCTGACACTTGTCTTTTCAGATTTGATTTGCGGCGCGGTTTATTTGTGTAACGACTGATTAACTAAAATATTATTTGTGCATTGTAGACTTCATAAAGACTTTATTTCCAATAAATTATTATTAATATATTTCATAGTATATATGTTTCTGGATTGTCCTTAAAACTGACAACAATTGTGTAAGTTTGTTTTCTTCCGCTTTTAAATGTATTGTTAGTTGTTATCGCTGCTTGATATTACATTCAACAGATATTAATGGAACACCTTTAACATGAAAAAAACATCTGCTGAGTTTAAAATATGATGTATTACGAGACTTTTCTTGCTGTATATAGTTTATATATTCAAGATACATTTGCTGTATTTAAAAATTTACTTAAATTGTGAACAAAATAAATTTTATATTCTCGGATAGCTTTTAAGTTGCTAACAATATTGAAAAATTCGAGACAGGACAAAAACAAATGAGGTTATATTAATATCAAACCATGTTTTTTTTATCACACACAGTATCGAATGCATCGTGCGAGTATCGGATGACAAAATTATATAGCTCACGTTAACCATTTATTATTGTTTGGGCAAAACACCTAGTAACTACTACAACGAAAGAATAGAGACCAACTCAACCACGAGAGAAGAAAGGAAACAAACAAAAAGCACGTCCAGAGAGCAGTGGGTGCATTATTTGACATGCGATAAGCACGCGAACAAATTATGCAGTGTATACATAGCTAATTTATTATGGAGTTTTAAGAATAAATAACAGAAAGTATAACAGAGAGTCATACTCCATTACTTTATTTTAGTTGATATTCCTTATAACTTTTTAATAGGACCGTTAATACTGCTGTTTACCAGACCTATTCAAGCATAATTTTCTGGGAGCGACTCTCAAGTATCAAATTCACAAGCCTTTTGTCCGTTTATATTAATTTTGATGGTAGCTTACACTGCGATTAGTTTAATTGCTGTAATGAAGGATATTTTGTACCTATTTCACCTTGATATGATCTATAGTTTACCTGCGGTGCCTCCAATGAGTGGATTTAGTTTCTGTTAAAACATATCCAAAAGTCTGCGTTATTGGAAAGAGAAAAATTAAGGTTAGGATGGTATGAATGTTTGTATATAATACAGTGTTGCTGTCCAGTATCATGATATATATATATATATATATATATATATATATATATATATATATATATATATATATATATATATATATATATATATATATATATATATATATATATATATATATATATATATATATATATATTCATAGTTTAATACAAACAATAATATCATACAGGTTACTCTACGAAGTTTCGAACCCAGGTCCGCGAGTAAATGGCACCAATCGCCTTTCCTGCACGCACCAGCCCATATACCGAAACGAATAAGCACGCAGCACTAAAAATGATGGCACTGAATCGGTGTTATATAAGCTTGTACGTAGCCGACACACTCACATGACGATCTAGTAAATATTTCCAAATATTTCTCATATATATATATATATATATATATATATATATATATATATATATATATATATATATATATATATATATATATATATATATACAGTCGTTCCAGATTCCAATGAAAGAAATCAAGGAATGTAGTATTTTTGTATTGCAAAGAATTATAAATATATACTAGACAGTGCTATCCCTGGATTATGTAGTAGAATCCTGATAATAGTGGGCAAAAATAATAGTTTAATACAATCAATACTATCATACAGGTTATGGAAATTAAATTCGTACTCTACGGAGTTTCGAACCCAGGTCCGTGAGTAAATGGCTCCCATCGTCCTGCCTGCACGCAGCAGACCATATGCCGTCACGACTAAGCACGCATTCCTACACGTGTATTGGTCAGGCGTTTCATGAGGTTACTTTCACTTCTAAATTATGTCAGTCAGGTGCTACTGATCACAGTGATCCTCTTTTAAATGCTCATTATCCTTTATCCAATCAGGGTGATAAACGACAATCACTTGTCGTCGAACAGGAAAATGATCACGAGATCTCTTTGTTTCAGAAAGCCGTTCGTGAAACTAAAGCAGCTGAAGTACCAATATGTTACTTCATTAAAAATGGAATTCTTATGAGAAAATGGAGCCCTCCAAAAGTACTTTGCTAATAACAAATGGACAGTGAACTATCCGATTGTAGTTCCAAAACTCTTATAGATAGGAAATAGTTAGTTTGGCCCATAAAATTCCTCTGGCTGGTTAGTTAGGAATAAATCAAACTTATAAGAAGATCTTGACTCACGTTTGTTGGCCTAAAATCAGAAGTGATGATTGTAAGTTTTATAGATCTTGTCATACTTTTCAAATAGTATGAAAACCCAATCAGAAGATACTTAAGGACCATCTACAACCAATTCCTGCATTTGACGAGCCATTTAGCAGAATTATAGGTAGATTATGTTGGTCCCTTACCTAAGACCAAGTCAGTCACCCAATATTTGCTGACCATTATGTGTCCGTCAACAAAATTTCCAAAATCAATTTGTTTGAGGAATTCTATTGTAAATGCTTTAACAAAGCTGTTTGCTCAGTTTGGCCTTCCTATATTTGTCGAAGCAGGTCAAAGGTCAGATTTTTGTTAGGACTTTTCCAGCATGTTATACTTTAATTTGGCATTCAATTCTTGTCAAAAGTCAAACTATGGTTTTATAAAATTTTACTTGAGAGATTATTTGAGTCTTCTCTTTTGTTCATTTTGCAAATGTTTCTTCAATTTAGATTTTACGGCTTTTACAAAGTAAAGAAGAAAATAAATTAGTTAAATTATAATTATTGCACTGAAGTCTAAAGAAATCAATGCAGTACTTGTATATTGAAAGAGATACCCAAGCCAATTATTACAGTTAATTTAGTAATATCTGTCCCACATACTAAGGATTTATTTGAAGAAAATCAATAGGATACTGTTGAACTTGGAGCAACAAATCTTAAGAATTCGGAAATTATGAAAGATCTAGATCAGAAACTTGAATACTTGCAACAAGAAAGACGAAATAAAATTAATCAGTTTTTATTCAAATATGAACACATTTCCGGATATTCCTATGAGGATAAACAACATTTTTTTATGATGTTCAAATTGTTTATTCAAAACTTGTAAAAACAACACCCATATAAAATGAATACTTGAAAAAGGAAATTCAGTATTTGCTGGAGAATGATTTCATAAAACCCAGTAAAAGTGATTGGAGTTCACCACGCATTCTTGTTCCAAAACCGGATAAAACGTTCTGTATGTACACTAATTATAGGAAGGTGAACACGTGACAAAATCAGATTCATTTCCGTTACGAAGGATTGATGATTGCATTGATAAAATAGGAAATGCCAAGTACGTCACCAAATTAGACCATCTTAAGGGATTTTGGCAAATTCTACTTACGGAAGGAGAGAAAGAAATTTCGGCGTTTGTGCCTCCAAATGGACTCTACCAGTATAAAGTAATGCCGTTTTGTATGAAGGGTT